TTTGAAGAAATTCGATTTTTTCGCTATTTCCAAGTCTAGTTGATATTTAGGCGAAGCTGCTCTTAAGCATCAATTTAGCGATTTTGTCGTTCAGACGGCGGTTCAAGTCCTTTCTGAAGACTGCTACCTTTAGAATATGCTAACAACTCAGAAACTAGGGTCTTTGCCATTTTTGAAGTCATTACTTTCGGAACTTTACCTCACGGTATTTCTTTCTCTTTAAGTATTTGTTCCAAGAAAGCTCATTTCAGTTAATAAGATTTCACTCAGTAAGGTTTGTACTCTGAGCTACCTGTTTGTTAGACATCAAATGATCGGTTAGTGTGGCTCTGAATTATCCTGCATGTACTAGAACTTATAATGTCTGACTCAGTATCTGCACTAGTCCTCACCGACGATTATTTGAGCGATAACCTTGAAGGTCCAAGAGGATTAAACTTCCGAAAGTAGCGGCCCCAAGCACAAATTGACTTGTTAGAGAGGCAACTGAAAAAAAAAAAAAGATCCAACAATTCGAATAAAACGGATTTGATATCTGTTTCAGATGACCCTTATTTCCAAATTAAACCGTTACACTGCGTTGATGTTGATCTTGACCAAACTGTATCTTTCTGAGTTCTCTGTGCATCAGAAAGATTTTGATTCTATTAAAATGGAACGGTCAGCATCGAAAGAAGCGATAGGGAAAGGCTGATAAACCGAGAGTAGAACGTTGAGAAAAATAAGTTGTTCCAGTATACATTACGCACATTCAAATGAATAGCCGGGTGAATATACCGGAGCTTGTATGATTAACCGGCGTTTTATTGAATGAAGGATTCAGCGAAGGTTGGCCACACAGCAGATTAAAAAATAAAATTTTCTTTTAGCTTTCGACGGTATATAAAACTAAGTTTGTCATTTACATAAAAATTAAAGTAATAGTTCTTCCTGGTGTAATTCAGAAGCTGGGTCACCAGTCCTGCGTAAAGAGCCTTTTACTCCCTCCCCTTCATGAAGAAGCCAGTGTTCTTTCTCTGTCGTGGAGTCAAGGAAGGCTGCGTCAGTAAGGTGTAGCTGGGTATACGCAGCTTACATTTTTGATTGTCTTGACGATATTTTAGGACCAAGCGCAATTTTCCTTTGACGTGTAATAATCGCATCCATGATATTATTTACAGTCTGGAGTGAAGCATCAATTCAACGATTTAGACGGTTAGACTATAGAAGGTTATTGTTCAAATAATGTGAGGACTAGTGTGTGACGAGGTTAACAAATTAACAGTTCTAGACATGCGGTAGTACTGAGGTACCTTTAGGGCAGGATGGCTTAGAGCCAGACGATCATACTGTTGTACAGGTACATGCGGAACATAGTGCGGATGTTACTTAGTAAATTCTTATTAAACGTAGTGAGTATCACTGAACAAAATATCAAGCAGAAAGGGAACACCGCAAAATAACAATCCCTCGAAAATAGCGACAATGGCTGTTAGCATATTCCGAAAGTAACTAAGTAACCTCCAAAAGTAGCGAGCCCAAACGGAACTTAAGTTGTTGTAAGACGCAATGGAAGTAACGTATACAAGAATTCCTAACAAACTTATCTGATATATTTATTTTACATGATGACTGATATTTTGAAAGCAATACGTCACTCAATGTTGTCACTTTGTCTAATGTAGAGATGGCTTAGAGTGCAAACCAGCAATATATCAATATGCACCCATTGATGTTTGTGGACATCAAGAAACACACGGAATAAAAATGTGTGCAGTTGGTAATGTAAAAAGGTTTTCCTAAAGAGGCTGTGTTTAATTGAAGGGGTGGATAACGCTATCCACAGGATAAGCCGACGTTTTTGTTTTCAAATAAATCCAGTGAATAGTTTAGATTATTCCCCACTGGATAGCAATTTGCCCCTGGATAGCAAATCCTCCGGGCCCTGTAGGAGATGTTTGCATAAGAAAATCAAGAAAATGACTTGAACACTTCATGCAACTGAAACCAGAGATATGCACCGGCCTGATGGGCTACTTGGTTGCTCTGCGGACTTTACCTTACCCCGAGAAAACAGCCCTAAGAAAATCCGCGCGGTGACTGGTTAAAAATCCTGTTTCTATTAAACCGTAGGCATTAATAGAAGAATAATATTTAAACAAGGAACCGAATCGTAAATTAGAGCTGCAACTTTGAAATAAATCATCCATGTATCTTTTTAAGCAGGGTTGAAATCAATGCCCTTTCAAATCAAGACAAACTGTTCACGGTCGTCATTTGTTAACGTGAACTTTAACTACAGTATGTTTAATGTCATTTCTTTTTTTGTTTTCTTTTTTTTTTCTGAGCAAAATCGGAGGGGATCCTTGGAGCTGCAACTTTAAAATAAATAATTTGTGCCTCTTAGAGCAGGTTTTAATTAAATCAATACCAGGAGGCTGAATGCTCTTTCAAATCAAGACAAACTGCTGACTGGTTGTCAGTTATTATAAGTTTTAATTGTAGTCTATCCATTAGTGAAAACTAAGCGAGCGAGGTGAGCGCGCGAGGTTGGTTGGCGCTTGTTCAATTCCCAGCTCTTGATTTGATAGCGCCCTTCACGAGTTGATGCTGAAACAAGGTCTGTATAGGGATTAATTTAACTGCTATTTTCATCGGTAATATGGAAATCCTTTTCTTATGGTTGTTATTCACGAAAAAAGTAATATTTCTTTCTGGTACGATTTACAATGTGGTCCACCAGCCTTGCTAACAGAGCCTCTCCCAGCTTCCCTAAGAACAAAAAGATGTCCTCCCTGTCTAGCTCAGTTAAAAAATCCAGCCGGTCATAAGTTATGTGGACTGAAACAATCCGTTCAGGCAAAAAGAATGTTTACGATATTGATCACAGTTGTGTTAATTAAAGCATCAATTTACAGATTTAGATGGATGGAAAATAAGTAGCTATTGTCCAAATAATGTTAAGCTATACTCTCAATAGCTCATGTGAAAGCAGATATCTAAAGAGGTAGGATGGTTTTTAGCCAGAAAATCATCGTAGTACTGACAGGCAGCTCAGCTGTGTGCAAATCGTGGGCGTAGTGTATTTTCATGAAAGTGTAGACTTAATACCTGGAAATAGAGGTCCCAGTTGAGTGGAGCACTAAACGGAATTAGAAATTCAAATTGGTAGCTTCTATTCGCCGGGATTACGATTAAATTTTGTTCCTGTATATACCGCACAAGTGATAACAAATTTAATTTGTGTTTTTCTTCTTTCAATACGTTTATTTTTTTGCAGTAAATTATATAAAGACTCACTTCTTCATTTTCGTCATATAGTTGCGGAACGAATAAAGTTAACAGTTTTTGTTCCGTTGTCTTCGCGCTCGCTCGCTTCGCCGAAAAAAAAAAAAGAAAACCGCAGAAAAAAAAAATGAAGAACGTCTTAGAAAGACTATCTTTCTGTTGTAAAATGTGCTTTGCCTAAAACCTTTATATCATAATAAAATGAGTTAAATCCAGCCGATTTTTACATTAACGGACTTGATTTGAATCAGAGGCAAGACCAAATCGGAAATGATCTGTTACTTTTCACTGTTAATCAAAAGTCGGTACAATTGGTCGTTTTAAATCAGTATCTACAACTGTGTCTTACCATCTATTACCACCAGATGAGTTCTGACCTCCACGGTATAGTAAGACACCTTTGCTTCACAAATGTACACTCCAGAGTCAGCTGCACTGAGTGCGGAAACCTGTAGAGTTCCTCTGTTGACTTTCATTCGTTCCTCTACCCAGGCTCCCTGGGATCGCTTCCAAGAAATAGTTGGAGAGGGATCTCCAATTGCAGAGCAGCTTAAAGTCAAGTCACTGCCCACTAATTTGCTGACCGTGGGGGGTGGCCTTGTGATGAATTTCGGAAGTGACAATACAACTAATGAAGTCACTGCCGATGTCTCTCCCAGGGCATTCTTCGCGTAGCACATATAGGACCCAGTATCGCGTTTTTCCGCAGGGCCCACTCTCAATAAGCCCCTATCCTGTACAGTTCTGTCTTTAGCAAGAAAGCCTGGTATCTTCCGCCAGGTGACCACTGGTGCTGGAAATCCTGTCACGTGACATTTAGGCAACGTGATGTTTTGACCTATCTTGGCGTGAGTCGGGCCTGGGTCGAGTTGAATACGAGGAGGCGCTTTTAAGGGATAAAATTAAGGTTATTAACAACTTTCATATGATACATTATTGAGATGAAAACAGAGGGTTATAAAATGCAACGAAGTTAATCTTGGTTTCATTTAAAACGTTAAAAGCAAGCGGGAGCGTAGGAATCGTAGTTCATGGCAAATCCCGAAAGAGAATGGAAATAAGATAAGCTCTGAATCTTTTGAAGCCGCGAATTCCCATGTTATCTTCACGCAACAGATCAAAAGAACATTGAATGATAAACTTGCGACCCTTTTCCTGCCCAGACATACTTAGCGTTCTGTGCGTCGTTCGTGTTAGCGGTGTGTGAACGCCGGGAGCTGTATTCATAAGAATCGCAAAGAGAGAATTGGCAAGTTCTCTTGAAAGTTTTGACTCTGGTTTTACAATGCATTTTTTCGAAAATAATCCTGCATCTACACTCCTGGAAAGAAGGAAAGAACTGTACACGAAAAGTGTCGAAAAAACAAAACAAAACAAAACAAAACAAAACAAAACAAAACAAAAACAATGCAGCAACCTTAGAGAGCCGCAAAAAAGGTCTCGTGACACTCTTAATAACACAGCGCCTTCCATCCATGAATTGTTCAACAAGCAAATCAAACATTTGAACTTACCTTGTACGATCAACATCGCGGTCTGGTTTGCAGAGCCCAGCAAGTTTCTTCCAACACAAGTGTATTCTCCTGCGTCATCAAGCGTCGCGTCAAGCACTTCTAATCTGCCATGGTGATGTCTCGAGGGAACGCTGTTCCTTCCTAACCACGTGACAGTTGGCTTGGGATTTCCGCTGACAGAACACTGGAACACAGCACTTTGGTTTTCCTTGACCCTTTGATTCATCGGGGAGATCACTACGACGGGAGGTGAAATGGATTCTCCGGGCTCTCCCTTTGCACCGGTGGCCCCCCTTGGACCCAAGGCTCCAACGATTCCCTGTTCTCCATTTTTACCTGGTGGCCCCATAACTCCTTGCTTTCCATGTGGGCCTGGCTCTCCTCTGTCACCACGTGGCCCTTTCCTCCCCGTGGTTCCACGTGGTCCTCTCCTACCACGTGATCCCTTAGGACCCTGTAATCCCGGCGGCCCATACACGCAGATTTGTTCCTTCGGTGAACAGAAAGATCGCGACGTTAGAGAGTTTAAAGTCTTGTTTATCTCACTTTTAACTGACTCCATAGTAAGCTCGTCTGGTTTTGTGCCAGCTTCAGATGAAAACCGGCGAGTTCTTCCGGCATGACCTGTTAATAAAGTAGAATGAAAAGCTTGAACATCTTGACTTTGTCATCAAATATTGTTGTAACTGATCTGGCTCGGAGTTTTGTTTCCTGACCTTTGCAGAGTGCTCCCGTCAGCTTTGGCTCTATATCAAACTACATGTTTGGCGCTAAGACGAGTCGAAATCTATATTTTCATGACAGTTGTGGGCCGTAGCAAAATGCTTTGATTTTGTAAAACATATTAAACAAAGAAACTGGATAGAGAACCACACCATTAAGAAGCACAAAACTGATATCTAAGAATGCCAAGCACGAAAAATAGATTATAACAAACACAAACTGGCGGATCAAAGACCCAGTGTCAATGCTGTTCATTTAAGTAGGATCGATTAATCCTGCAACACAGTTTAATATTAGCTTCCTTACAATCCATAAAGTGTCCTTTGATCTTTAGAAAACGAACAATAGGTAATTTTAGTCATGTTTTAATTAATTTTTCTTTTGTATTCTTTTCACCACGTCTTCCGGGAGAGCTGAATACTCAAGCCACGCAATGAAATCACGAGAATGAGAATGAAATCACGAGAGAAATAAGGAACAAAGGTTTTTTTGGTTCATTATTTATATACATGATTTTTAGAATTATTTTAATCACTTTAATTTCAATAATGAGTAAAACATAGTAGCTTCTTTTTGAAATCTTTCAAAATTGAACACGTATTTCATAAATGTCAATGGCCATATACAAACACACGTTACGGAATTGAATGGGAGCATTTATAATATTTTTTAGAGAATGCTACGCACTAGCTAAGCAGTCGAACTGAAGACATTACCTTCTGTCTCATCTCTCCTCTCTTTAGTAATCTTGTGATCAAATTCTCCGTCAGACTCGACTCTTTCAGAACGTTTGAAACTTGCTGCGTCGGTGAACACCTTGTTCAGGTTCTGATTCTGCCGTGCGTCCGCCACAAGATCTTCAACATCGTGAACTCGCTGGTTTATAATCTCAACACGCACCAAGGCAGCGGTACAGATCAATAAAGATACTAACGACACTGGACAAACAAGCTTAGACGAACAGCTGTGGAAATCACGAGCAGATGAGTGTTCTTGTTTCTCGGCCATGACGAAGCACTGGCGTCGCACGATAATGCAGCGCTCCTTGTGGTGCGGTGTAAAGATACTCGCCCAGACGTGTATGAAATGTGACTCTTTTATTGACAATGAACCAAATCAGTTCACAGTGTTAGCGGATGATTTAAGCTTCGTAATGATAAATAAAGGCCAAAAGTCATTCTAAAAATAAAACGTCTTTTCCTTCTTAAGAGTGTGAGGTCGAGTTTTTTGAGGGTCAACGATTTCAGTGGAAATTTTATCGCATTTATTGACAATCAGTCTGATCATTGCATGAGGTATCCTTTGATAAGAAAATTTGCACTAAGTTACCGTAGTAGGTTACTGTAAAGAAAAACAATGTTTAGAAACATTCTTTAACATTCCAGAAGGTTGATTAAGTAATAGACTATTTTTTGTCATATCAAGAAACTTCGGTTGACTTTACGGGAGCCTTTTGCCTCGTACTCAGGAAAGTGGAAAGGATAACGGTAAATTGCTCTCAATGTAATTGGTAATGGACTTTAATTAACAAAAATATATTTCGGTGATATTACCGTCCAAAAATCTTAACCCTAACCCAGGGATGTCAAGGAATCAGGAATTTAAAGTAAATCGCAGCTATCAGTTCAATCATTGTCCTCATTAAAAACTATATCGGAGAACGAATCAGAAGTTAATTTTCGTTACGTTCCCAAAACGACGAAACGCGACAGAAAACAAAGGTGTTGGATGCTGAAAAAGCAAACTGCTTGGACTGTGCTGTAGCTATCTTGTTGTCGTTTACTGGTAATATATTACTGATGGCAAAAGGTGCGTGGGTCTCCTACCCTTTGCGTGACAAGCTCAAAGGTTTTCTGCGTAGGAGACTAATGACTAACGTTCGAAACCTTAGATTCAGTATCAGGCTACCGCAGCTGATAAATTGCGGGATGACTTGATTTTTTCAGAATTCACCATCTCCAAGCTCTCGCTATCAGTGCTATAGGCACTTAATTTAGAAAGATTACCTGTTACGGGACACAAAATCAAACTAAATGAAGAACCGTTCGTGAACTTCGTGGCAGAATAGAGAAATGAAATCAGCTGAGTTGAGACATAAAAGAAGCTCATTACCACTGGGACGGAAGCTCAGCTTGTGTAATCTGTTGCATGTAATGCTGGCATTGGAGGACGCTGTGGGAGTTTTCTCAGTTTACACGAAAACTAATACGCTTTTGGTGGGGGTATTATGGTGAGAACAAGTCGCGTCTTGATTCCAAACCTTAACTCTCGACGTTTTTTGTTCAAAAACATTAGCCATAATGGCAAATGAATTGTCCGTTAGAATTCAGAAACGTTTATTGCTTTGAGTGGAGAACTCCCAACCACGACAGGAGTCTTTAAGAATAGTGCTAAACACCGGAGAAATCACTTATCTAATGGAATCAAACCATGCCTGCCACTGGATAGGGATTTAGGCAGTACATACTTAACCACCTTTTTTTTTTGGGGGNGGGGGGCATGATTGAAAACAGGGAGCTAGGACGGTCACGCTTTTGAGAGTCAGGTAGGATTCTGATCACATTAGATCTTAGCTTGAAATGATTTCGAATTTCAAATCTATTAAGCTTTACTAATAATCCAACGATAATTGGTACATTCTAGCTAAAAAGAATCAGAACATTTGTTTTATTGGCACTCCCTTTGACTCAAACACAGACCTTCTTGCTCCTTTTCGCTAATCGGTTGGGCTTTTCTAAAAACCTCAGAATTGGTCTTACGCGCCGGACATTCTTCCGGCTCGAGCATAACTCTCTTTTTCACGTGCTGAGGTTTGTTATTATAGTCGAGGCATACAGCGCAAGAAAGTTATAAAGGAAATATTGAATTTGAAAAACAATTAACTTTAGTTTGGTTTAGTTAGAATTCGAATGCTATCTACCAGATAAGATATAAAAGAAAATCGATCTGGCGGCAATTAGTATTTGTAATCTGATTGGGTAAGAATATTTATTAACACCTTGACAAAAAAAGCAGCACCTGTTCTCTCAGCCAAAGTTACTGATCTTCCTGCTTTCCTCGGTTATTTCGATTAATAATTTATTCAACCATGTATGAAAATATAATTATTAAGCAAGCTCACAAATTTCTATTGGATAGGGATAACAGCAAAGAATACCAGGTGATATGCCAAATGAAACAATCGTTAGGTCCCTGTACTTGTTTCCAAAAAAAATTATATAAACAGTTCTCTCGCAAGCTAAGCCGTTTAATCGTTTATGTGTGAGCGCAGCCTAACACAATAGACCTCAGAACGAGGCTCTGGGGAATAAATACAGAGTTTGTGGGGTTTATTCCCCAGAGCCTCGTTCTGAGGTCTATTGTGTTAGGCTAAATTTTAATATATCGAAATTGGTCTACTGTGCGTCATATTCTGCGCAGTAAGGATGCGCAATACAATAACAGGAATTACCTTTAGTTTAAAAAAGCTTGAAAAGGTACGCAGCCGG